GACTGAACACCCAACATCAGCTTCCCTTCCACCCTCTTCCTCCTTCACTCCCACTGTGGGGGGCGCACCCCACGCACCCAGGGCTGCAGTGCTCACCCTCTCCACCCCTGCTCCACGCCCCACCCCCGGGGCTCACCCAGGAAGGCGGAGGGGGACACGGTGCCGTTGCTGCGCGCCACCATGACGCTGATGCCCGTCTCCACAAAGGGGACGGAGAAGTCGACGATCTCTGAGCGCTCCTCGTTGATGGTGAGGGAGCCGATGGCCATGTCCGCACGCTTGTAGTAGACCTGCGGGGGAGGGGCGGGGCCAGACCCGCTGGGGCACCGTCCCATCGCGTCTGCTGCCCGTCCCCACCGCGGTGCTCGGCGCTCAGTAGCCACCGCTGGCCACCCCAGAGGCCATCACAGCCAACCGCTGGTCTCCCTCCAGGACCACCCCAGAGTGACAGCCAGGCGACCCTGGGAGGGGGTGACATCCCTGACTCCACCCCGAGGGGTGCCGAGGTGCCTACCTCCCCGATCATGCCGTTCCACACACCGCGCACGCGCTTGCCGTGCTTCCCGTTGGTCACCAGGTATAGGTCGTAGGAGAACTTGACCACCTTGGCCAGCTGCTTGAGAGTGTCGATGCAGAAGCCCTTGCAGCAGAGCTTGACGTAGGGGGCTGCGTCCCCGCTAAGGCCGCCACCACCAAGAGACCACCAGTCAGCCATCAGGCAGGCGCTGCAGCTCCCCACCCCCACCCCGCTGGGGACACCCCCCACCACTCCCCAGCCCCCAGCAACTCCCCTGCCTTCCCCCCCCCTTCCTCGCCTAGAACAGCGATTTCTTGCGGGAACTGGTGATCACCATTTCCAGGGAAGGCTTGGAGGACAAATATAACTTGCAACTAAATCCGGGTGAGCGGGCGGGGCCTGGGAATGGAGGCGGGGCCAGCAGCGGGTGGGCGGGGTGACATTTGAGAGGGTGGATCCTAGTGCCTGGAGAATTGCTAGAGGCTCCACCCTCTCAGGAAGGGCAGGGCTTCCCCTGCCATTCTGGGAGGTGGAGTCAGGGCCAGTATTTAAATAAGAGGCGGGGCTTGGTCGCTAGGAAGGGGCAGAGTCTCCAAACAACTCTGGAAGATAGCCCTGGGTGGGCGGGCAGTGCAGGTGTGTTCAGATCCCAGGCCCTCAGGGAAAGAGAGTCCCAAAGGAGCAAAGGGAACCTGCACAAGGCGACCTTTAACCTTGACTGCCCCAGAATGGCGCATATTGAAGAACCGGCCTTTCCTGGGCTCGATTCCCCAGCAGAACATCCGTTCTCAGCAGCGTCCTCGAATCCAGGAGCTAGAGAGTCCACCCACGCCAGGCCACCGGGCTGCTGAGACCAGGTCGGCAGGCAGCGAGGGCTCTCCAGCGTCTGCCCAAAACGCTTCTGAACCCTTCCCTCCACCCACCCTTCCCATCTGCATCCTGGAAACTGGGGAGCCAGGGTGGGGATGGGGGCCTCCGGGACAGGCAGGAAGGAAGGGTGGAGGAAGGCAGGGAACAGCATGCCAGTCAGAAGGAACAGCCCTGGTTAAGACCTGGCTCCTTTGTGGGTCTTGCTCCTTCCAGGCCGGAGAGGCCTCAGCTGAGCCTTTGGCTGGAGAGCCCTGACCTCCTCTTGGCTGAAATTGACCTCCCCAAGCTGGTAAGTGGTCACCAGAGGGGTAGTGGAATGGTAGGGTTGTTAGGTTTCTGAGGGAGAGCAGGTGGGGGCTACCAGGGCCCTGGGCCCAACAGCTTCCTCGCGGTGTGTCTTAGTCAGCACTCACTGCCACTAAATTAACTGGGTCTCAGCGTGACCCTGCAGGACAGAGTAGAACTGCCTGATGGGGTTTCTGGGCAGTTTCTTTACGGTAGCTGCCTGCCTGCTGTATCTTGTTCCCTGGGAGTGCCTGGTGGGCCCGAACCACAGACCTTTGGGATAGCAAGCAAGCACTTACTTAACCAGCATGCCCCGGGGCTCACCCTCCTGTCTCTGATGCTGCTGCTCTAACGGAAGTGCCTCGTTTGGGCAGCATTGAGGAAGAGATGGCTGTCTTTTCTCAATTCAGGAAGTCAGACGCCCCAATCCTTCTGCCGGCTCTAGGGGAAGGCTCTCTGCTCCAAGGGCTTGTCCTGGTCTCCTGGGCCTCGTGGGATGTTTCCACATAGCACCTCTCTGTTCCTTGACTTGCCCAACCTGCACGTTTCCTATCTATCTCACGGAGATTGATTGAGACACCCCCCCTGCCCTCGCCCCCCCCCCCAGCCTCATTAATATATGGAAAAAGCCCCCCCCCCTCCGTGTCAGATGGGATGATAACCAGGAATCATAGCCACCCTCCAGGACAGAGAGGACCTGCCCCCGGTATGGGATCTAGCCCACATCTGAATGGCTCCAATGGGACGGTTGTGTCATTGAACGGAAGAAGACATGAAGAGACAGACAAAAGTTTTGGGGGGCTCACCTCCTCCATGGCATCCAGGATCAGGTCCAAGTGGGAGAGAGGGAGAATGTATTCTTTTTTTTTTTTTTTTGAGAATGTATTCTTATACCAACTTACATAGTTTTGGGGCATGCAAGCCCCTCTAACCCCCAACCACATACACCACCTACCTACGTAACAAGGTGGGCAGTATCTTAACACTAGAGGCCCCTGAGTTCATTGGGGGAGAAACATAACACGAGTGGAGAACAATAGCAACATGTCCGCTCTTATAGATAAACCTGCCGGTCGGACAGCAATCAGCCAGGTGCCTGTAAGAGGTGACATTCAGGTAGCACTGTTAGGAGAGGATATTGTGGGGAGGATTTTTAATTAGGAGAAGGTGACCGGGACTCTTCTCTAACTCCTACATGTGAAGGCCTCCCACGCCCAGAACCCTGGCCTCCCATGATGGGAATAAGGAATGTGTCCGCATACACGCACGCTTTCCCTGGCCCTCCGTTTCCCACCTGGTGGGGGGGGGTTGCTGAGATTGTCAACCTTCAGGGGGCCAGGTGACCTTGTCTTTCTTGGAGCAACAAAGGCGGGAGGGGGTTTCAAACTGCCCATCTGTGTTTAGCCGTCCACTTAGTACTTAACCCACCGCCCCACCAGGCTTCCTTTGACACAGGTAAGGGAAACAACCCTCAAAACACAGCTCCCTGCCATCGAATGGATGCCGACTCCCAGTGAACCTGCAGGGCAGGGTAGACCTGCCTCTGTGGGCTTCCCCGACTGGCACTCTTTACAGGGGCAGAAAGCTTCATCTTTCTCTCTCGGAGCAGTCTGCCCCTGTGGTTAGCCACCCAGGGCCTAGCCCACTGCCCCACCCAGGCTCCTTTGCCACGGGGACAAGGGTTAAGGTTGACCATAGATTTTGGTAGGGAGGACATGATCCAGGCTGTAACACTGACACTCCCTTGGAGGGCTTCGGGGCATCCCCCAGTAACCAGCTCCCGCAGGTGAGACCTGTGGAGATCCTGTATCCCAAGGGCCCCGGTGTTCCGCTTTAGCCCATGCCACCGCCATCCTGGCGCTGATCCCCTCGTCCCCATCCCTAGGACGGGGCCATGGGGCTGTCGCTGGAGCTTGGAGAGAACCGCCTGGTGATGGGGGGCCCCCAGCACCTGTACCACCTGGATGCCGGCATCCCCCTTCGGATCATCGCAGACAAGAGCAAGGCTGCCTTCCACCGGAAGAGGAAGGTGGGGGTGAGGGGGAGTCCAGAAGGGGGAAGTGCTGGGGCCAGGGTTGGCACCTGGACTCCTGGGTCTGGGGGAGGAGGGGCTGGAGGCTCAGCCTCTGAGGCCCTGAGTCCTGCCCTGTGTCATTCTGCAGCAGTTGCTGGTGGCGATGCCCCTCTGGTCGGTGGCGTCTTGACCTCGAGATCTCCCCATGCGGGTGCGAGCGGAGCAGGCGAGGCTGGACGCCCCTCCAAAAAGAATAGGAATAAAAGATGGTTGCGCTTGGGTGCCAGTCTGGCTTCCGTATTGTGATGAGGCTGGAAGCAACGCCTCGGGTACTTCTAATGCCCCCAGGGCCTTGCCCAGTGAGCAGGCTGCCGTAGAACTGACAGACCAAGACCCAGAGGGAAGGCCTGGCACCCTACCGAAGATGAACCAATTGAGCCTTATAGATTAAACCAGGATACTGACTGAGAAAGAGTGCTGTAAAGTGAGCACCCCACCCCACCTTGAGAAAACCCAGTAAGTCACAACCATCAGAGTTCATTCCAACTGCTAGCGACCCTGCAGGACTGCATCGAACTGCCCCGGTGGGGCTTCTGAGACCGGGAGCCTGTGTGGGAGCAGACAACCTCATCGTTCTCCTCTGGGAGCTGCTGGTGGGTTCAAACTGCTGACCCTGTGGTTAGCAGCTCAGTGTGCCTCCCACTCAGCCACCCGGGCACCTGCTCCAAGTCGGAAGGGACTCGCATCGCATCCAACCCTCCCCCCCCTTTCCAAACTCCCTGCCATTGAGTGGATTCTGACTCCCAGGGGCAGACAAAGACCCCTATTGGTTTCTGAGGCTATAAATCTTGAGAGGAACAGACAGCCTCATCTTTCTCCCAGAAAGCCACTGGTCGTTTTAAACTGCTGACCACGACACCACCGGCAGCTCCTTCCTCAAAATACTGTTGTCGATTCCCTCCCATAGCAACCCAAATCGGATGCTGTGAAATGGACCGTGTGGGTTTCTGAGATTCAATTCGTTATGGGAGTAGACAGTCTCACCTTTCTCCCTCAGAGCCAGCGCCCAGTGGTTTCCCACCGCATGTAGCTGTTCAGGCCATCACCACCACCCCACCAGGGCTGCACAAGTGGGCCTGCCCACCATAGCCATGGTGAAGATGGCTCTTGTGTGCATGGGGTGGCCGAGGGTCAGAAATGAAGCCACTCAGCGGGTCACACACAGCAGCCAAGCCTCCCCATTCCATCAGGGCCTTCAATTCTGCAGAAGTCGCCAGGCCGTTCATGAGCTGAGTCTCTGCCACCCCTTGCCCTCAGGAGCTCCTCTGTTCGCTGCGTTCTCCTCCACTCCACAACCAGGCCAAACTAGCCAGGCTCCTTCCCCACTCCTGATCTGTGTCTTCCGCTGAGGTCACTGCCCTGGCATCATCGCTTTTATCGAGCTTTTCCTAGAAAGCTTTGCAAACCTCCCAGCTTTCGCTGATCTGGGCTGAGGGGTTAGGGTCCTCCTCTTGGAGTCTCCCAATCCCCAATGTTACCCCCAGAACGATCATTTATGTTATAACCCCAAGGTGTGATCATGCCTCTTGAAACAACCAACCCCACTACCATCAGGTTGACTCCTGATGTCCGTAGGTGTTGAGTTTGTACCAACTCAGTGACCGTGTGTGCAGTGGACCGAAACGCCGCCTGCTCATCTGCCAGCCTTGCCATTGTCCTGATGTCTGAGCCCAGCGTTGCAACCACTGTGCCAATCCAGCTTGTGGCAGGTCTTCCTCCTTTGCTGCTGCCCGTTTACTTCACCAAGCATGATGTCCTTCTCCAGGGACTGGTTTCCCCTGACAACATGTCCAAAGTATGTGAGATGAAGTCTCACAGCCTTGCCTCTCGGGAACATTCTGGCTGGACTTCCTCCAGGACAGATTTGTTTGTTCTTTTGACAATCCATGATAACTTCTTGTATTTTTTGCCAGCACCATAATTCAAATGCATGGGTTCTCTATATTGAATGTCTAAAATCACCTGGATAGGAGGTGATTGAAAATACCATGGTTTGTTTGGGTCAGGCACACCGGATAGCAATTGATACCTTTCTCCCTCGAAACGGCTGGTGGCTTTGAACCAACACCTTGCAGTTAGTGGTCTTAACAATTTACCCCAAAGAGCCTAAACCAGCAGTTCTCAACCTGGGGGTCGAATGACCCTTTCATTGGGGTTACCCAATTCATAACAGCAAAATTGCAGTTATGAAGTAGTGAAAATAATTAAGCCAGGGCGGGTCACCACAACATGAGGAACTGTATTAAAGGGTCGGGGCATTAGGAAGATTGAGAACCACTGGCCTAAACTCATTTAAAAAAAAAAATATATATATATATATAATTTATTTCAATCATGATGACTCCATGTGTATCAGAGTAGAACTGTGCCCATAGGGTTTTCCCAGTTGGCATCTTTTGGCAGTAAATTGCCAGGCCTTGCACAGAGGCAAGACAGTAGATTAGAGCTGCCTCCTTTAGGGGTTAGCTCTAAACCGGTTGTGCCTTCTCACACACCATATATGTTGAGTCACTGAATGATTAAGAGCCTCGCTCTTCCTCTACCTCCATCCCCCTGAGTCCTAGCATGATGCGTACATGGCTGACACAAAGAGTTGGGTAGTTCCAGGATAAAGTTGAATGCGCCCGCCAGAGAACATGAACTACACCTTCCAGCGACCTTCGGAGTAGGTGGCCCATGTAAGGCAGGCGGTGAGGTCCAGCGACCTCTGGGACTTGTAGTTCAAGCGCCTCTCTCCGTGGGATGAAGAAATCACTGATCTTGACAAAGATGAGGGCTGGGTCCTTCCCGACGTCCCTGTCTCCATGGCGACGGTTCCGGCGGAGGCCGGGGATTTGGCAGCAGCGATGCCCCCTCCCCACTTCCTCCTCTTCACCATCTGCTCCGCCCTCACACCTGTCCGCGAGCCACGGCCGCCGCCTCCGCCTCCGGGCTCCGCAGGCTGCCGCCACCAGGTGGCGCGTGAGGATGGCTCTGCAGCGGCTCCTCCCTGAGACCCGGGAGTCGGGGTGCTCAGCCCCTCCGCCGTGCGGCTCCCGAGTGCAGGGTCCCCTAGCCCCTTCCTCCCGCAGACCCAGGGGACCAAGCCCCCGGCCCCCTTCCCCCTCGGATCCAGGAGTCTGGGCCCCTAACACCCCCTCCAAACCTCAGCCCCGGGCCTCCGCAGCCGCCGCCTCCCCGGGGAGCCCCGGGCTTTCTCCAAGTTTGGAGACCCGGGGATGGCAGGCTGCAGGCAAGAGAGCCCCGCAGTCAGTGGCCGTCGGCGGCGCCCGGCCGCCGCGCCGTCTGCCCCTCCGCCCCTTGGCGGGCTCGTGCCACATCATGAAAATTTAATCCCAGATGCATTTGCAGCCCGACGCAGGGAGGCTGTGGGGATCGGAGCCCTCTCCAGGGACCTGGCTGGAGGCGCGGGGTCGTGGGGGAGGGGAGGGAGGAGGGGGCAATGTGTGAGTGTCAGCGCCAGTGGGAGGGGCTAGTCAGGAGAAGGGGGCGGGGCCGGACCTGTCTGCTGGTCCTGGTCCCAGGAGAACCAGTGACCAAGCCCGGAGGGGCAGGGCGGGGCATCAAGGGCGGGGCCAAAGTCTAGGGGGCGGAGCGGTCTCCCACGGGGCGGGGACAGCTTTCAGGAGGCGGAGACAGATCCCAAGAGGGTCCCGGCACAGACAGCACAGATTCCGGAGGGATTTGGAAAGGATGGGGGTGTTAATTTGGGGAGGGAGGCGCGCGGATCTAAGGGGAAGGGACTCGGAGAGAGAAGGAGCTAGGAGCGGTGTTGGCGCCCAGGGTCCAAAGAGCTCTGGGAAAAAGGATGAACTCAAACGTGGGAGGAGGACGATGGCAATTTATTTGGGATGGATTTCAGGGTGAGGAAAGTGGGTAGGGAGGAAAAACGAGGGGTCATGGGTGGGTGAACTGGGGGTTCGAAAACAGGGCTCAGAAGGCTGGGACTGGAAGTGGCGGAGGGGGTTAAGGTCCAGGAGGAAGATAGAGCTATCTCATCCAGAATTTAGCGGGGGCGGGTCCAGAGCAAAGGAACCTTGGTGGCAGAGTGGGTGGGTTACGCGTTGGACTGCTAACTGCAAGGTCAGCAGTTCAAACCCCCCAGTCACTCCTCAAGGAGACAAATGAGGCTTTCTGTGCCCAGAGTTACAGCCTCGGAAACCCACAAGGGCGGTTCTACTCTGTCCTGTAGTGACAGACTCGATGTCAGTGAGTTTGGAGTTTGGGGTTCAGGACTGGGACAAAGGTAGATGGTGCAATGGGCGGGATGAAACCGGGGTGGGGGGAACGGAAGTGGGGAGACAAACCTCAGATGGAGGAGAAAATCCCAACAGGAGAGATCTGAGAGGGTGGGGAAAGTGAGGAACAACTGGAGAAAGACGAGAATTGAGGGGCGAGACCACGATTAGAGGTGGGGGTTCAAAGCTCAGAGGCGTGGTCCTGGGAGGGGCCCAGGCGGGGCTAGAAGCGGGATGGGAGGGCCGCGAAAGAGGCGGGTCTGAGCGGACAAGGGGCGGGGA